TGTAGCTCTTTGTATCTTTGTCGGTGAAGACCGCGAAACTCTCACACATCACCAAGTTGCCAAGTTATTGTTCAGCCAGAAAGTCATTGCTCGTACAGCATCATGGTGTGTAGCCTTCCCTATAGCCGGCCGTTCGCTGCCCTAATCCGTCCCCAGGAACTCGGTATCGACGCCATCGGTGATGAAACCTAGTCGCGCCTACATCGCTCCCAAGTTGCCGCAACGAACGACACCAAATAGACCTCTAGCACATCAGCCGTACCAACCGCAGTTTCCAGGACATCCTGCGCAGTCCTAGCTCCAATTCCATCTGGTGGACGGCCTACGAGAGGGAGAACGAGATTCCCAGATGTCCCCCCAGATATTTCGGAGCTTCAGTGGGCGGATTTGTTGTTTGGGAAGCGGATCTGTCAAGTGGGCTAGGTGAGGTCAGAATGAAATATGCGACTGTACGTTCACGTCACCCCTTCTTCCATCCATTCCAATCCTGACAAATAACATGGAATTAGGGTTCGCGCTCGTCTCGTCTGATCAGAGTACACCTTAATCAACGTCTAACAAGACAAATACCACGAAGACGTACTGGATGAGATTTAGGATTTGAAATCTACTTTGCCCACTAGAAGTATGTACCCCCTCGCCCACCCTTTCTCCCCCTTCCCTTTATTGACTACCAACTACTGTAGTTTGGGTCCGCCTAAAACCCTAGCTCAAACCCTATTTGATATGATGAGGGCGTTGATTGAGAGGGAGGTAGACAAGCTGTCGAACCCCGAAGTCGAGGGTGTGAAGAATACGATGAGGAAGTTGCCTAGGGCTGTGGAGAGGTGGGAGAGGGAGGATGAAGCAGTTGGCCTGGTTCGAGGCGTGTTGGCGTTGATGATGCCAAGTTCTGCGACGACCTCACTGTCTTGATGCGGGTGTTACGCGCTTGCAAAAACTTGGCGGTTTTGTGCCCCATTTACGTGATGCGTGAGTAATCTTTCGTTGCTGGGTGCTGATTTGTGATGCATATAGACACCAGGTTGATGCGCCGTTGGTCCGCCGGGATTGGATACAAGCGAACAATCTTACGGTCTACTGTGGACTCGCAGGAACTGCATCGTGCTGAGGCCCCCCTCTGATTATGCGTGATTTACATTGGGTTTTGCTGATTCCTCTCACTCCCCCGCTTTTTTTAAACCCGCTTTCGACTGTTGTTCTGGATTGTAGCTTGTGTATCTATAGATGTTTTTTTTTCTTTTGCCGCAAAACATGTTGGTTTCCCAACAGGTCGAAAGACAAACCTCGGATGTCGATAGGTAGTATTTTGACACGTGATACAGTATCCGTCCTTTGAGCAACACTCCACAACAACACTCTAATTAAAACTCCTTTAGTTCAACACAAAGACACTCATTTGCCACTCACCCTCTCTACCCAACATCTCTCGCTTCTTCACCAACAAACGCGGTGATTAATGCCAATCCAGCCTATAGACTTTGTCGGAAACCTCCTCGCCGAGCGTGAAACACGACCACTGCCTGTCACACGGACGGACATCAAACCACAGTGGAACCACCACTGGTCAAAGGTCTTAGCGCAGTACGGCCCCAACCCCCTCCTCAACCCCTCCCACACATCTATACCCATCCGCCTGCGGCTCTCCGACTCCTCCGAAACCCACCTGAAATCCGAGCACTTTCCCATATTCCCAGTCCAAAACATCCTGGCCCGATATGCGTCTTACCTACTCCACCCCGCCGAACCAAACGATCTCATAAGTAAGTGGGTCGGGTTTACAAGAAACGAAAAAGAGAAATGTATACTTGATGCGTTCGGGCACGTCTACGGGGTCGGCATCACGCTGCCATTCGGGGGCGGGGAAGATTCTGAAAGGAATTATTGCCCTGAACTGACGACGGAGTACCTACTTGCGGACGATCGCGCATTGTTCCATCTTCTCTACCTGATTATGAAGGAATTCCAATACATCCCTGGAGTTTGGACCCTGTTTATATCCCACATATGGGCGTGGACCGGCTATGTGACTCGGATGACCTGCGCGATGGAGCTGATACGCTTCGCGTGCGACGAATGACGCTCATGTCAAATTTTTTGTGGCAGTTGTTGCTTAAAATGGTATGTATCTTTATGTTTCTTTCCTACCGCATCTTCTATGGGGGTAGAACATCGCAGACGAAGAAGCCACAATAGCTCGGTTCGGGGGAGTCAACATCCCCGCATACGCCGACTACAAATTCCCAAACTCCGTCAGGAAACTTGAGCACTTTCTCAACTTGGGTTCGTTCTGCTGGACCTGCAGTCAACGAAGACGGAGAGGCAAAAAAATGAGCGAGCGTATTGGGTGTCTGGACGTCGGTTTGTCAACTGTTTATTGTTCCAAGTACGACGGCCTCGCTTCTCCGTTTTCTGCTTTGGATTCACAAAAAGAAATCACTGACTTGTTGATTTTAAAAAGGGAATGTCAAGAAAACGACTGGACATCCGGTGACCCGATTCCACATAAAATTATCTGTGGGCGGCCTGAGGAGTTTTTCAAGAAACACGACGTCAACGCCCTCCTTCCCCCGCCTGTATCAGGGTTCACGCACACCCCGGGGTTGGAGTACGTCATCGGACTGATGAAAGAATATCCCGAGTGGGATTATATCGTCAGTCCCTCTCGCCTTCTTTACCCAGCCTACATCGACTCACATACATACGTAGTTCCGCAGTTTAAACAGGAATGTAACAGCAACGTGGGGCGGGCCAGAGCGTAAGCCCTCTCTCCCTTGTCAGTTCCCATTCACACTCACACTCATGCAGTACAAAAACACAGAGCAGATTTCCTAGTCTACAGACGCCGCGGTTGGTCTTATTATCACGACATTTCGTTCTACTAGCTAACTAAATAAACGAACGAACGTAAAAGCCGTCCAAACAGGCTCCAAAGCCGTCGTAACTCTAATGTTCAGAATGCTCGACTTCCTAATGATGCCTGACAAAGTGATGCGCGGCATGATAAAGGGGCAGCTGGAGGGTGATTTTGGCGTGACGATCGACGAGGTTTACGACGACTCGAAGGAGGTGTTGCTGTCCCAGTCTGAGGATGCGGGAGAACAAGATAAACTTGTGGAGGGGTATAAACCGACGAGGAAGGAATACGCAATTGTTAATGCGTTTTTGGAGGCGGAGGGTAGTGTTGAGAGTTGAGATGGTTGGTGAGGAGGAGCGAGAGAGGAAGGTGGGTTGTTGACGATGGTGATTGGCGCTAGGCTCTCTTTTGGCACTCTTGATATTTGACGCTCATTACGAGGTATCTCCAGCGCCCCACAGTACTTGTTGCTTCTTGGACTCAGGACGAACACAGGACGAACACAACGGTCCGCCTTCTGGACGTATTTCGTCCTGGAAGGAGTTTTCCGTTTTCCCTTATGTTAATTGAGCTTCATCTCCGATGAGGGTGCTGAGGCCACTGGTCCGTCATCAACGTTAACATTCACGTCAGCCGCGATCGACGCGTTTTTGGAATTGTATTACCAGCATCTATCTGTGTATGTGTTATAGACGGTGGCGGGATGCATAGGGGAGCTTGTTAAGTACGTGCTATAACGCGCTTGAGCGTTTTTTTTTGGTACGAGTTATCGCCTGGTCTCGTGGATAAATGTGAGCATCAGCAAAAGCACTCAAACGTACTCTGCATTTGCCATCGGATTTTGTAAGCCAACCACAGGCAAGGAAGAGAGTCATCATTCGTCGACTTGGGTTACAAGAACTAGATATAAATATTTATGGTCGGGCAAAATGAACAACCGATCCACCATTATCTGTTCCAGTGACGACGCCTTCATAGCACTAGTGGCTACCACTTTATTTCTATAACCTAGACCCAAGCCTAGAGGGTCATTTCTATAACTTAGACTTAAGCCTAGAGGCCATATCTATAATGCTTAGGATTTTTTGAAAGGCATTTCAAATGTAGGCCTGGGTATTTCATAGTGAATTTTCCATAGATACCCAGCGCATTTTCTGCGAAATTTCAAATGCAGCCCTGGATATTTCATTGCGATTTTTCAATAGAGACCCTTGGTATTTCATTGCGATTTTTCAATAGACACCCTGGGCATTTCATTGCGATTTTTCAAATGTATCCCTGGGTATTTCATTGTGATTTTTCAAATGTATCCCTGGATATTTCATTGCAAAATTTCAATGGATACCTGGCGCATTTCATTGCGATTTTTCAAATGTATCCCTGGGTATTTCATTGCGATTTTTCAAATGTAGCCCTGGGTATTTCATTGCGATTTTTCAAATGTAGTCCTGGGTATTTCATTGCGATTTTTCAATAGATACCCTTGGTATTTCATTGCAATTTTTCAATAGATACCCTGGGTATTTCATTGCAAAATTTCAAATGTAGCCCTGGGCATTTCATTGTGATTTTTCAAATGTATTCCTGGATATTTCATTGCGATTTTTCAATAGATACCCTGGGTATTTCATTGCAAAATTTCAAATGTAGCCCTGGGCATTTCATTGTGATTTTTCAAATGTATTCCTGGATATTTCATTGCGATTTTTCAATAGATACCCTGGGTATTTCAGAATTTCAAATGTAGCCCTGGGCATTTCATTGCAATTTTTCAAATGTAGCCCTGGGCATTTCATTGCAAAATTTCAAATGTATCCCTGGGTATTTCATTGCAAAATTTCAAATGTAGCCCTGGGCATTTCATTGCGATTTTTCAATAGATACCCTGGGTAGTTCATTGCAAAATTTCAAATGTAGCCCTGGGCATTTCATTGCGATTTTTCAAATGTATCCCTGGGTATTTCATTGCAAAATTTCAAATGTAGCCCTGGGCATTTCATTGTGATTTTTCAAATGTATTCCTGGGTATTTCATTGTGATTTTTCAAATGTATCCCACATGTCAGGGTCCATGCAATGGGCTTCCCTGGAGGGTGGTCACATGGCCAATTACGAAAAATGGTCAAAAAACGAAAGTTGTAGCCCTGCACTGTAGCTTCCCGAATCTGTTTGAATTATGTTCTGAAGTGCTCCCGTTGTGGAGATATTAGGTAAAGGAATTTCAAAAGCATCGTGTTTTTTTTTTTTTTTTGTGTTTTTCTCTATAAAAACAAAACCAAATAACATGATTTCAGTATATTCAGAAAGCTAAAAGAAAGGGCTACAATTATTGTATCGTGGGAAAAATGACCAAAAAAGGAAGGTGCATCCTGTACTATAAGAATCAGATATAGACTACCAAGTTTACTGATAGACTACAAAAAAGTCGGACTTAGACTACACAGTTTACTGATACACTATAAAAGACTACAAAAGCATGGACTTAGACTACATAGTTAAGGTTAGAGTCAAAAGGTTATCTTGACTACAAAGTTTGTAGTGACCGCTTTTTGAGACTACTAGAAAAGTTTGTAGTGTCCGCTTTTTGAGACTACAAAAGTTTGTAGTGTTGCGCTTTTTCATTAGAAAAGTTTGTAGTGTCCGCTTTTTGAGACTACAAAAGTTTGTAGTGTGTGCTTTTTTATTAGAAGAGTTTGTAGTGTCTGCTTTTTCATTTAAAAAAGTTTGTAGTTGACATGTAGTTTATGGTGTCCTTGGCCCTATCTATGTTATGGGGATGAGGTTGAAGGATTGCCATCATATTGCCAGTGCTGCAGCATTAGTATTTGACATCATGCACAAGTTGTCTTTCACATTAGGAAAGGCCATTCTATGTCTTTCATATTGATACCTACTGTCCTATCTCAAGACATAATTGCAAGCTCATTGACATGACATGACCAGTTTTTGACATCATGACCAAGTTTGCCTT